GACACTTATTGGATGGCTCGGTCCTCCCTGTGCAGCCAAGCATGCTGATTCTCATTAGACTTCTTCTCTCTTCATCCTTTCACCCTTTTTGCCATAAATTAACTCAACAGCATAATTTAGATTGAAGTGCTGAATCTTTGGATCCCCACGCACAAATTAAACGAAATCCCACCCAGGCGCTTCAGATGTGATGGAGTGTTTACCTGATGTGCCGCGTGAGCTTCATTATGCTGATATCTGCTCCTGAAATGTGGCACATCAATGCATATATTCTCCACGCTTAAAGCTACTACATACAGAGTGTAATCAATACTCAATACTCAATTACAGAGCATGATGTCTATAAAGGACTTGTTCAGAATTTCAACTAGAAGAGCCCCCCTGACTGTGTGTGAGCTCAAGGTAATCGATAAAACATTATATTATATATATTATATATTAGTTATAGGTTAGTGGGCAGTTTTGCAATTAAACAAGAAACCTCTGTGATCTATAATAGACTCTGACTGCTGCTCTTCAACTTTTTTATTCATTAACATGTTTAAAAATAAGGAACATAAAAAAATTTGGTGTACAGCTGCATTGCTGCACTGAATCAGCTCATCAACAGCAACTCGTTATCTCACAGTACAATCCAGGGGTATCTTATAGCTACAATTTAAATGTATAACATGTTAGGAGATCTCCCACTCTCTTGATTTCTGGTTTCATAGTAGGCTGAGGGAAACTTCTATTTACAAATAATTACAGACTGCTAACATGTTGCTGTCATTTTGAATGAATCTTTGTGAATGAGCACAATTTGCTGACTCAATTTGACTCAACTGGCTGCCAGATGGTTGTTTTCCTGTTATAATCCTATTGAACACAAAGGTTGCTCAGTGCAAATGTATTATTTAAATGTAAATTTCTAACTATGTAGGCAGCAACATGTGACTGTCACTGGTTTATCACAGTTAATTGCTGTATTATTACATATAAATTTAATGTAATTGCCAACTTGACCCAATATGATCTGTTAGCTGACTGCTCATCTTATGGCACCGCTTATGGCAGGTTTCATTGACAGTGTTCATGTGCTTGACAAAAAAAATATTTTTTGTAGCCAAAAAATAAATAAGTTAAGTGAGATAACTTCATCTTATCAGGTTCAAAAATGCAACTGCCCAGTGACGTTGTCTCAGCATTCAGTTTGCATTAGCCAAGAAGCTAGATAACGTAATTAAAAAATCGCTAGCAAATTAATATGAGTAACCTAGATTGGGCTAAAAGCAAATCTAAATGGATAACATATTTATCATATTCTTAAATTAAATAAAGAAAATATTTTCCATTTTTTTCCAGAAGACAGTGTTGGTAATTACAACATTTCCCCAACATTTTAAAGCTATGATATCATAACAACATGATTGGTCAGTAGCAATGTCATGGACCTTAACTCAACCTAAAAGTGTTTTGTACTCTATGGGACATTTTACCATAGACTACAATAGGATCAGATGTCTTTTTGCACATGTATCACCCACTTTCACATTGGCTGCACAAGATCTGCTCTTCCTCCTAAGCTACAGCCACCCCAATTTTTTATTTTTAATTTCCATTTATCACGCTTTATAAATGCTGATACTGACATATCAGCAAATTGCTAATATTGGCTGATTACACTGTCTCACTGATAAATCAGCTTTGCAAAATGGCTTTCCTTAAATGGGGTTTCTAGCTGTCCTCATTGAACATGTCTAATTCTGGCTCCACGCTATGTTCATTGCAAGCCAAACTTTATGCACCATGGATCTATTAAATTTTGTTAGGCCATTAAGCCTGATGTATGTAGACTATAACACGGGTGGGGGCCCAGATTACAAAATAAAAGTAACAAAGAAAATAAAGCAGCAAGAATGGCCCCATCAACATCAAGATACTTAATGTGAGTGACAGATCGTCTTTATTGAACTTTAAATGAGAAAGTTAAAAAGCTCCAGAGACGAGAAAAAAATCAGTCAAAATCTGACAGGGTGTGAAAAAAATAATAAAACCTGAAGCCAGATTAATGAAAAACTGTGAGTGACATGTACAAAAAAAAAGGGTTGAACTAATGATTGCACACAGAGGGTGGTGACTGGTCTGGAGTTTAAATAAAGCTTCTAGATGAAGGTATGAATGAAGATGAAGGAGCTGAAGAGGAGTTGAGGCTAGCACACCAATAAAAAACCTGTGACTGAAATGGGAAAAACCATCACATTTGTTTTCTTTGTCAGTAATATCCCACTTTTATTAACGCTCATTTTCCCCTGACTGAACATGTTACCCACTGTTTCCATCTTCAAATTACTGCTCAAAATATTAAAATAAAAAAAGACATATTGACTCTGTTCCTCAGGTCCAAGCATCAAAAAATGACTCATCTTTCTAACATGCTGCTGTTCCTTGTCCGTTAGCTTATTTATTTTTTGGCAGATACACGCACCCAAAAACTACTCAGTCACCATTCTTGGCCTTGCCAGGTTTTTATCAGCACTATTCATATTTAGCATGGCTTGAAGCTGCATTTTTAAATAGCATTAGAAACATACTAGACCAGGCATGATGTAGGAGCTTAAAGCAGGTGGGGGGGGTTGTGTATAAAGTTGCAGTGAGATCAGATCGTAGAACGGGACATGCTCTTGAAGTGTTTCTGAGGTTACAAACAGTCTTTTTTTTTATTTTTAAACAAAAAAAATTCTGAGTTTGTTTTAAAAAATATATCCGTCCACTAGTGATGGGATTTCCGGCTCTTTTTAGAGATCCGGCTTTCGGTTCGGCTCACTAAAAACTCTTTTGGCTCCGAACCGGCTCTTCAGGTTGTTTTGTTGCTTTAATTAATTTATTATTAACAATAATATAAAATTATGCACAAAAGGAATTACTAACGTAAACAAAAGTAGTTTTATTTGTATATGTTTATATATAAATACATGCGGTGGCCCCTAGAGACAAAACACGTACAAACTCCAAAACACATTTCTAGCATGAACTGAACTTCCAAAGCAGAGCTACTAGATCACTTAAATTACACAATTGAAAGCATGTGTGTATTGTTTGTGTATTTATACACAGGCACTCATATATATTCAAATAATTTAAAAAAAAGTTCATTTACCTGTTACTACGACACACCAAATCCGGTCGTTGGTACTTCCTGGCTTTTGTAGCCACGAGGTAACAAAGCTCAACACTGCGCCCAGCATCCTGGAGCACTTCTGTTGTCTTTTGTACGTTGTTTTGAAGGGAGGAAGGTTCAGGGCTGAAGCAATCAGCTTCATGGGCTCATCCGGTTAGAATAAGAAAAGCAGCCATCTAATGCAGAATTAGTTTCAGGGTACTCCTTTTATTCTCAAATAAATAAGGCAAAGAAGGAAGGAAACAAAGACACACATGGACTGCCAATGCTGAAAGAAAACAGATTCAAGTTACTCATTACCTTAACATTACATAAAATAAAAACCCAAACAGAACCTCACCTCAGCTGCCGCCCCGTGTGGAAGTGCGGAAAGAGTGAGCCAAAAGTGAATGCAGTCCTTATATACTGTGTGACATATAATGTGTGACAGGTGAGTGCAATCAAGGACAAGCACCACACCCAATCAAAGGTGAGAGAACTAAACAAGGTGCATCTGGTGAAGTGAGTGGGTGTGCTGGGATGTGCTAAAAGGTGGGTCTCTACAACAGCCGCCCCATATTTCTAGTGAGAAATATGTTGATATGATCAGGATCAGTCTTCGTCAGGAAGCGAGGGCAGGGGATCAGACAGGAGACAGGGCGGATATAGGTTTTATCCTGTACTAAGACCTCCACAGTTCTGATGTGGTCATCTGGGCTTTTCAGCAAGCGCGTCACTCTTCCTACAGGCCAAAGGGCTCGTGGAAGGTGTGAATCCATAATCATGACGACAGAGTTCAATGTGAGATCTGGTTTTTCCTTCTGCCATTTGGGTCTTCTTTGGAGGGATGGTAGATAGTCTCTTATGAAGTGTCGCCAGAAGTGATCTGCCAATATTTGTGCATGTCGCCATCGTCGTCGGCCTAGGAGGTCAGAATCAGAATAGGATACCAGGGGAAGTGATGAATCATGTCGGCCATAAGGAGAAGGTTTGGGGTTACGGGGTCAATGTCCGCAATGTCTGAGGATACATAGCCTAGGGGTTTTGAGTTAAGAATGCCTTCAATCTCAATTAGGACTGTTCTTAAGACCTCTTCAGTGACCATTTGTGCACCAATGGTTCTCTTCAGAGCATTCTTCACAGAACGTATCTCCCTCTCCCAGGCTCCACCAAAATGGGGTGCATGCGGGGGATTGAATTTGAAATGGATTCTTCTAGTCATCAGGACCGGCTGTAGAGTCGGAGCAAGGTTGTTAAAGGCTGCCTGTAGTTCCTTATCTCCTCCTTTGAAGTTAGTTCCTTGATCACATATAATTTCCAGGGGTGTTCCTCGTCGAGAAATGAATCGTTGGAGGGCCATGAGGAAGGAGTCTGTATCCATGCTGTTTAGGAGGTCAAGTCTCAAATATGCGACAGCACCATATGCTCGCTCTGAAGCGTCACAGAAGATATGAATGTCTCGAACTGTGGTAGAAACATCCATTTCCTTAGAAGTATAGCAACGTGGGATGGCAATTTGTGGGAGATAACAAAGTTCTTCTTCCCAGGACTTCCATGCCTCTAAGAGGTCGTGTGGAAGGGAAGGGTCGTCCCAGTCTCTCTCTTTTCTCCATAGCTCTTGCACCAAGGTTTTGGCGCGTGTTGTGAATGGGAGTAAGTAGCCTAATGGGTCATACAGACGAGCAAGTACTGCATAGATACGACGCATTGTGGTGGGGTGTGAGGCTAGAGTTCTGTATTTATAGGCAAACAAATCAGTCTCACAATTCCACAATAATCCTAATGTGCGTTCATGTGGGCCAGATGGCTTGTCTTCAATCAGGCAAAGTTCATTACTTGCCGTTCTTACCTCAGATGGTAGATGGCTAATCACAACAGGATTATTGCTGGCCCACTGGCGAAGGTCGAAGCCTCCTTCTGATAGATGGTTTCTTAATTTGTCTAGGAGTGTTCGAGCTAACTCTGCTGATGGAAAACTCTGCAAGCAGTTATCAACATAGAAACACTGCATTACTGAAGACTGCACATCTTTGTCAGATTGATATTCCTTCACATGTTTCTGCAGTGCATAGATTGCACAACAAGGGCTGCAGGTCGTGCCAAAGGGGAGTACCTGCCACTCATACACTGAAGGGGAGCTGCTTTGTTCATGTCACGCCACAGGAATCGGAGGAGTGGTTTATCAGGAGGCAGAAGACGGACTTGGTGAAACATGCCTTTGATGTCGCCACTTATTGCTACTGAATGTTGCCTAAAACGCAACAAAACACCAAGAAGTGTTGGGCCTAGGATTGGTCCTGGCAATAGGTACTTATTGAGACACTGACCTTGAAATGTGAAAGAGCAGTCAAAGACTATGCGATCTTTATTGTTGTGACTTGTCATATGATGAGGGATATACCAGGTTTCTTTGCTATTGTGCATCTCCTCTGGGCTAAGTTTGACTATATAGCCTGCTTGCTCCAATTTCAAAATCTGATCCTTGTAAGACATGGCTTTGCCAGGATCTTTAGCTAACCGAGCCTCAGTGTTGCGGAGTCTAGACATGACTACATTTGGAGGGACATTCAAAGGAGGAAAGTTTGCCATCCGAAGAAGAGGAGTGGCGTAGCGATTAACACCATTGATCTCAACCCTTTTTGTGGCCTGTTCAAGGAGTTCCAGTGCCAGTTGATCTTGCTTTGATCGGATCACAGATTTCTCACTGTATTCAGGTAAAGTGTCTAGTTGCCATAGCTTCTCAACATGATAACGCAGTACATCTGCAGATGAACTGAGAGATGTGAACAAACACTGCACGTGCTCTGTACTGCTCTGGGATGAAAATCTGTGATCGGGCCTTGAAGTGTCCATCCTAATTGGGTTTTAACTCCTGCAGGAGACCCATATGGTCCCTGTCTCAATGGAGCAGTAGGCGTGATGAGGTGAGTATGATCTGAGCCTATGAGCAGGAGTGGCGCTGCTTTATTAATAATGGGTAATGGGATACCTTGAAGATGCTTGTATCTCCGTTGGAGAGATGATACAGGGTAGGTGTGGTCTGAAAGTGCTAGGTGATTTGCAGTGAAGGCATTAGTAATTGTGTAGGTTTTCTCTGGGTGTGCGATGGGTGAGATTTTGAAACTTACGGAAGAACCATGAATAGTTTCAACTTCCTGACGGACCGTTCTAAGTGATAATCTCTCTGCTTCCCCAGTTAGGTTGAGATGCTGTGCAGCTGATGTCAGAAGAATGGTACGCTGGGAGCCATCGTCAAGTACTGCATATGTTTCAAGGGTTCTTTTGCCATTTCGCAGGAGCACTTTCACGACCTTTAAAAGGACACTAGGACAATCACTAGGTCTATCAAAGTATAGCGTCCTCACTACAGGATGAGTGTCAGTTTTAGATCTCTTATTTACATCGCATAGGATCTGGAGATGTAGTCCCATACAGGTGGCACATGCTTTCTTTAGGTCACACTTTGCGGCCTGATGATTCCTAGCACAACGCCAACACCGTTTGTTTACTTTTATCCAGTTTGTTTTCTCATCCTTTGTCTTCTGAATAAACCCAGGACACTTACTAATGTGATGTTCTGGTGAGCAGCAATATGCACATGTAGCCTTAGTTGTCATGATCGGCTGTGTTGCATGTACAGAATCATCAGATGTATTTGCTTCATGTAATATTGTTGTAAGTGGAGAAGCGTACTTACGGGCAGGTCGTGTCTGGTTGAAGGATGGAACAGGACTGGCCTTCTTTGGTTGACACCTGCATTCCATTTGCAACCAGGATGAGAACAAAGGCAAGGTATACGTCATTTCTCCCTGTTCCCTGTAAACATGCCGTTTGAAGCGACTGAAATGCTCTGCAGGCAACTTCACTAACAAGCGATCGACATGGGAGCCACAGTCTAGTTCTGCACGTCCTTGTTCTCCCATAGTGCTAAGCAACCCAACTAAAGCCTGTACTCGAAGAGCAAAATTATCAAGGCTCTGACCATCACCTGCTCTGATAGGAGGCAGTTCCAGTATATTCTTTAGCTCTTTCAATGCCAGCTGTCTTGGTTGCCCATAACGCTCATCAAGGGCTTTGATAGCTTGAGTGTATGGGTCAGGAGCGTAGGAAAAGGCAAGAGCTAATCGTTTAGCTTGGTCTACTTTGAGGTGATCAAGAAGGACATGATATTTGAAGTGCTCTGTCTCATGAGGATCAAGAAGGTTTGTAAGGGCCATCCGTAACATCCTGTATTGCATTTCGTCTTCTCTACTAAGGTCTGGAAATGAAGGACCTTCAAGCTTATATACATGTGTTCTCGTGCTAGAGGAGTGACCCGAGCTAGCAGTACCAGATATCAAAGGTTTCTGTTCATATGAGGTATTGGATGTAGCTGGTTGCTGCTCTAGAGGAGGGCAATGCTTGTCGTCAGATATGCGAATGAGAGGTTGAACAGGGTCTTCAGCTAAAGGATCAGCAGGTTGAACACATGAGATCTGGTGGGGATCCTGCCGTGATAAGGCCAGGAAATCAAAGGGAGTCTCATCTTCTGTGGCAAGGACTGGTCTAGGCAAACCAGTTGAAGGATAGCAGCATCTAGTATTGTTGAATTAGGTAAAGGAGGGCTGGCAGCTGTAACTAAGCCAGACTGACGGCTAATCTGCGGGGGCTGGAAGGGTGATTGACAGGTTACTGTATCAATCACTGGGAGCTGCTCATGTTGTTGATGTGTTTGAGGACTGGCTCGTAAACTGCATACAGAAGCTTTGATTCCATCAGATGAGACTGTGCGAATGGAAGATCTGGAGCTACGAGAATGGGAAGGAGATGATTGAACCATAAATTGCTTAATCTCCCTCATGGTCGTTAGGAGTTCCCTCATGACCTCATCTTGGGTGGTGGGTAAAGGAACAAGGGATGTCTCTGGTGGTCTTTCTGACTCTCCGACAGGATCCTGCAGCCCATGTGTGTCTTTATCACTGTGCTGACACTCAGTTTGGCTCTCTGTCTCACATGTAGCTCTTCTAGCTCCAGGGTACTGAACTTCATACTGTTGCAGGTAGGCAGGAGGTCTACTATCACGACTGGATTTTCTAGATGGCTGCTGTGTATCCATGATGCTAATACCTCTCCCGCTCGGAGGACCATGTTTTGAAGGGAGGAAGGTTCAGGGCTGAAGCAATCAGCTTCATGGGCTCATCCGGTTAGAATAAGAAAAGCAGCCATCTAATGCAGAATTAGTTTCAGGGTACTCCTTTTATTCTCAAATAAATAAGGCAAAGAAGGAAGGACACAAAGACACACATGGACTGCCAATGCTGAAAGAAAACAGATTCAAGTTACTCATTACCTTAACATTACATAAAAAAAAAACCCAAACAGAACTTCACCTCAGCTGCCGCCCCGTGTGGAAGTGCGGAAAGAGTGAGCCAAAAGTGAATGCAGTCCTTATATACTGTGTGACATATAATGTGTGACAGGTGAGTGCAATCAAGGACAAGCACCACACCCAATCAAAGGTGAGAGAACTAAACAAGGTGCATCTGGTGAAGTGAGTGGGTGTGCTGGGATGTGCTAAAAGGTGGGTCTCTACAACATACGTGTTTTGGAGTTTTTACGTGTTTTGGAGTTTGTACGTGTTTTGGAGTTTGTACGTGCTTCAGAGTTCGTACGTGATTTGAAGTTTGTATGTGCTTTGTCTCTAGGGGCCACTGTAAATATACTTTTATTTTTTCACTCCACATAAAATGTAATAAATAAATCATATAATACAAAAATCAACTATTCACATTTCAACTTTTAACTATTTAAATTTTCAGCTTTTTCCTTTTACAAATTTAAAGTGAAAACAACACAAAACACTGCAAACCACAACACAATTAAATATAAATTATAATATGAAAACAAACAGAAGATGCACATTCTCTGTTATATGGACCTGCATGAATAAACTTTCTGAATCCTTTATCATCTGCAACGGAAAATAGTTGTGGATGATTACTACACCTTTCTAATGTGACGCTGTTGTCCCTGGCTCTCTTTCTCTCTCTCTCCCTCTCTCTCCCTCTGGCTCTGTTCCTGTGCTACTCAGTGTAACTACCGCCCCTCCCCCCTCTGCCCAGCATAAAGCACAAGGCTCAGGTGCGAAGTGAAGCGAAAAAAAAGTGCGAGAGAGAGAGAGAGAGAGAGAGAGAGAGAAAAAAAAAAAAAAACACGTGACTGCTCGCGATAAGGAGCCGGCTCGCGTCGTTCACGTCAAAGAGTCGGCTCTAAGAGCCATTTCGTTCGCGAACGACCCATCACTACCGTCCACATCCAAGTGTTGTCAAGACCATCTTAAAGCAGCAGGTGGCGATGTAACTCCAACCGTGAAGAAATGTTGACCATTCAAAAGTCCTTGTCCACACTTTAACACTGAATCCAAGTTTTCCAAACTCTTAACTCTGGCAGAAGTTTTCCAAAAGGTCAGTTTTCAGGGATCCAAAACATCAAAAACAAACAGCCAAAACGCATAATAAAAGCTATAGTTACCAAAATAGTCGTGTACGTGTAGACGCATCCTGACATTAAGAATTCCAAACCCAAGTTATAAAGACAGCTTTGAAGATTATCCTGAACTCACCATGTCCAGTAGTTCAGAAAAAATCTATGCCTTTAACCTGTCATATTGAACGTCATTTAAGGGACACAGTACATGTATTGATTTCGTTGGTCAACAATTTGAGATCCCAGTTGTAATAGTCATTGCACCTTACTTTCACACCTTAGCTGTAGAACTAAATCCTCATGCTGATGATTTATAATCAAACTGGTAATTTGTTAGCCAAAATATGTGAATGAGTAACAACGCCCACAAAATATTTAGCAGTGCTTGCAGAAGGGTTCCCGATGTCCAGTGTATAAAAAATTGAAGGATGCACAATTTAAATGAGCAAATCCAGACCCTTTTCTTTCCAAGATCCTTTAGATCAGCGGTCCCCAACCCCCGGGCCTCGGACCGGTACCGGTCTGTGAGTCGTTTGGTACCGGGCCGCGAGAGTTGAGGCTCAGGTGTGAAATGTATAGTTTTCAGGGCTTTTATCGGTTTTCAGCGTTATTTTGTTATTGTTTTTATCATTAACTCGGTCTTCCTTGGTCTTTTCACGTGTGTTATGAATAAATTTTCTTTTTTTTTCGGTACCGGTACTAGTTTTATTTTGTTGTATTTATCCGCGACACCTTAAAGGCCGGTCCATGAAAATATTGTCGGGCATAAACCGGTCCGTGGAGCAAAAAAGGTTGGGGACCGCTGCTTTAGATGATGTCCTGAGCGTTGTCAAAAATGTCTTTAGGTTTATCGGAATCTATTGAATTGTGTGTTAAACCAACGGGCTCAACCCCTGGGCCATGGACGGGGAGTTGTTTGGTACGGGGCTGCAAGAGTTGAGGCTCGTGTGTTCATGGTTTTCAGGGTTTTTATCGTTAACTCGGTTTCCCTGGGTCTTTTTCCGTGTTGTAGTTGTGTGTCTTATTTTGAAAGAAATATTTACGTGTTACTATAACATTTTAGGGTATTTTAGCGACACCTTAAAGGCCGGTGCGTTAAAATTATTGTCTGACATTAAACCGGTCCGTGGCGGAAAAAAGGTTGGGGACTGCTGTGTTAAACTATATGTCTGTGATATTTAAGGACTTTATCATTCTTCCTTCCATATTTGGTGGTGGCTCCAATAAAATTTAAATTTAGGTGGCCATTAAGTTGCATACTGGACATATGTTGAACTTGACCATGTATAAATACAAATGGAGAATGTAACATTTCATTCTCATGATGATGATGATGACATAAATATAACATAAAAATATTAAAAGATCTGGGATCTATGAAATATTTTCTTTAAACATGCAAATGTTAGTAATTGCTATTTGGGAATGTTCGTGTAGAGATCGTCAGTTTTCCATTTCCCTTGTCGCACAGTGTTATTCCAGGTTTGTTATTCCTGGTTTTTAACACTCCAGCAGCTAAAATTCAAAATGTAAACAGGGCTTCAGTCAGATTTTAATCTGCAGGCTTTGTGAGAGGATGAGACCTTTCCCTCCAGAGCTCTGTAACATTTCACACTGTGTTTCCCCTGGATTAGTCTGCACCTTCGGGGACCTCCACTGATATTTGCAGTGTAGAAAACATGGAAGGATGCACAATTTAAATGAGCGTACAGATCTTTGGGTGTTACTACACCTGCATCAGTTTCACTTGGGTGGAGAGAGGAGTGAAATATTACAGGGGTTACTGGAAGTTCATGGTCTGATTTCTAAATTTCTTTAAAAGAAAATGTCACTAAAATGTTAAAGCCTCCCCCAAGTAATCTCATAAACGCCTCTGACTTGTTCTGGATAAATAAATAACGTGTCCGTGTATACAGCGAAAGAATATGTGGAAAAAATTACCCTCTTTTATTCCCCTTGGCTTTTATTGCAATGTGGATTATTTTGTTTTTATAACTTCATATAAAACTGTGCCTGAAATGCTTTTCAGAAGAACTTTAAACATCGAATGCAGTCACTTGAAATGTCTGTAAATATAGTTTTAAAGATATTTTATTATACTGGATGTATTTATTGTGAACTGGACACTGCCTCAAGGTCGAAAACGTTCTCTCATAAAGTTCTCCTTCACAAAACAAATGAACAAGCTTGGATGGAACTCTTTACAGTCTGATACAATACAATCTAATAATTCAATGTGCTTCATTAATTTTGATTGTTAAATGTATTTAATGCTTTCACTGTCAGTATGTGAACATATTGTACAACACGTTCTCTTAGAGCAGGTTGTGAGATAGTCACTGTTGATTTGTCTTTCTTCTATTTTTGTGTGTTCATGGATGCAATTTTTTAACTGTGCAAAGTTTTTATCTTTTAAAGCACAAAAATTCAAAATTTATACCCATGAGGAGTTGGTGGTGGAGCAAATATTTTTTAAATTATCACTAAAAACTACTTTGGGAGATGTACGCACACAAAACAACTTGGATTTGGAAATTTTGAAAAAAAAAGTCTGCTTTGCTAGGTTTGAAAAACGATTGTAGTAGTTGCCACTTCTGTTTAAAGACTTTCTGTGGTTTGGTTTTCATGATCCAACCAACTACGATCTGTCTTTTCTGGCTGGCTAACATTTTCCTCAGACAAACTGTAAGACAGCCACAGACACATAAGCTGTCTCACTTGGCAAAATACTGTGCCGAGTGCTTTTTTTAAACTTATCTCATCAGTTTTAAATTATTTTGTATGCTTACATTATGATCTAATGGTCAACAGATTCACATAACCTAGCTAAGTTAAAGCGAGAGAGTCAAACAAATAGTCTGATCAGGATCGGAGGCTAAACTGCTGCCAAAATCCTGAGAACAAATTAAAGTGCGTTAGCTGGCCAAATTATTTCATTAGCTAATGTGTGCTATGATATTAACGATATGTGATATTTAGCTACTGTGTAATGCTAACATTTCATCTCCAAAATGTTGGTCAGGGAATGACATCTTCTTACTAATTCCATATTATTGACCACACAAAACAGTTCTCTATACATTTCACCCTTAGACCTCTAGTTTATGTTTTAGATTTGCTGCATGCAAACAGTATATATATCTTCATAATCAGATTTTCCTATACAATAATTTAAACACCTCATCAACGCTGCTGGTTGCTGGCTTTTCTATATCAGTCGCTGGTTACTGATTCAAGTGAAAACAGATGTTAAAAGGAAAAAGTACAGGCAGTAATTTATTAATTTTTGTTCACAATTGCAGTTATTTACACACTTGAAGGTGTTTTTCAAAGACGCACAGGACAGCTAAGTGTAATGACTTGGCTACGTTAAGAGTTGTTTGTAAAAGAGGTGTTGTAATCATGTTTTCCTTCAAGTAGATGAAAGAACAAATTCCCAGTTACCCATCTCCATCGCAAGCTTTAATCCTCTCATTACGAGCCTAATGCATCCATTTATGTCCTCATTTCAGGTGTGCACTACCGAAAGTCCTGTGCCTCATCTGGAGCTTGTCTTATCGCCTCTTCTGGTTACCAGCAGTTCTGCACCGGGAAGCTCAACTCGGTCTGCATCAGCTGCTGTAACACACCGCTGTGTAACGGACCACGCCAGAAGAAGCGACCCCAGCCATCTGCTGCCATCACTCTTAACACGCCACGGCTTCCTGTGCTTTCCTTCAACATCATCATCCTACTTTCCTCTATCCTGTGCTGACAGAACTTTCCTAAGATGTGCGTTGAAACAAACTGAAACTGTACAAGCTCTGCCCTACATGCTTTGAAATGTATACAAGAGAAGGCTTTTTACAGCATTTGTTCTTGAGTCCCGGCTTTCTGTTGCAACAAAAACGACACAATAGTGAACAAAGTTATCGCCATGTGTCATGTTGTGAATATGGGTAAGATGTGGTGGATAAAACGGCTTCCAGCAGAGGGTTCATGAACGTCTGCAAGGTGGAAAAAGGCAAACAGCAAAGATAGCATGTGTAATTTCCAGAATAAATCTCTTATTTCTGCTCTATGCTCTATGAATAGGAAAAAACAAGTTTTGCAGTGTATTCACCAACTGAAACAAAACATGTATGACATCTCCCAAATGAACATGACTTATTTAACCTCTTGGCAACTACCATGTTGTTAACAAACCACTTAGAGGTGCGATTAGAATTGGGTTGGAGAAGAGGCTGTTACCTTTAAAATCAGTTCTTTTTATGGGGTTTTTGCCTTTATGTTCTGTTAATTTGGTATAATTTGAACTAAACAGGTTCTGATTCCACATAAAGTTCACTAGTGACCTTTTGGCATTGAGAGGCTATTGGTAAATTAAATGATAAACAAATATAAAATAATAGAAAAACATTTTTTTAATTTTAACAACCATTTCAGCCTCTTAGCAGGTGTTTTACAGTGTTTGGCCAAACAGAAATTTGATAAACACCTTTGAAGAAGGCACAAATTTGCCGTGGCATCATTTCAATTAACAGTTATTTCCTTCCGGATTTTCATTAATCATTTTTCCAAGATCTTGTATTGATGATGGCAGAATCACTAAAGTACTCTCCAGCATATCCCAAAGATTCTCAGTGGTTTAAGATCTGGATTCTGTAGTGGTCAATCCATCTGCGAAAATGATGTCTCATACTCCCTGAACCACTCGTTAATTTCCTTAAGCCTACACAGCTCTTTGGTCCTACTCCCTTGAGTACTTTGGGGGTGGAATGCTCTGACTTCACAGAACATTTACCTGATTGCTGATCATGATCTTTTCCAGCCACATTTCTTCATTGGAGATGACGGTTCACCACTGTCCTCTAAGGTTTTGTTTTGTTTGTTGTTGGGTTGTTGTTTTTTAACACATTGGACAATACTTAGCTTATTTGACTCTTATACTTAGCATTTGACCCTTTTGAAACTGAGTAACATTATTTCCACAACCACAAGATCTGTCCCCAGATGAGGTTGGTTAAGAAAACAGAAGCTACTGGCTCCAGTTAGGGTTGTAACTGTAACTGTTGCTGTACTAATTTTCCTATTTGCTTAGTCAAGTGGCTTTTTGTTGGCCAGGTAAAATAAGACCATTATGCAGTAAGTATGTAGTAATAAGGGTTGCTGAACTTGTGACTGACCAGGACAATAAGAATAAGACTTCAAAGTGCTGGAGAGGTCATATAAATCTTCTCAACACAGCAAGCCTTGACTCCGCTTATGTCATGGTCCCCGTGCCTGCTCGGCTGGCCCTGTGTGGCTACATGTTATGTTTTGTCTTTTCTCTCTGTCCTCTCTCTCTGCTCGCTGCCTGGGCGGAGCTCATTGTGAGCTCCCGGCCTCCACCACCTGTAGGCAATCACCTGTGGCTCCTCACCTTGTTTGCTCCCGCTACTTAAGGCAGTGACTGAGAGCACCTCGCCGCTGGACTATTGAATAACGCTCGTCAGTGCTACTTTAGCCTCAGCCAGTTTTGAGCTCTGTCCGTGAAAGTTCCGTGCTAACCCTTGTTCTCTGTATGCAGATTTCTCGTGTTTGGTTTGGAGACTCTGGACGCTTTTCCCGACCCCGCTCTGCACCCCTGGGAACCCTGGCCCCCTTCTCCTTCACCTGTATATAGTGCACCTGGAGTGTGTAAATAAACCTGTTTTTCTGAGATTTCAGTCTGCGCCGAGTCCTCCCTGCTCCTCCGTGACAGCTTAAACGTCTAAGGTTCGCTGTACCTGAAATTTGTTCCCATGTTGAGTTTATTTTAAAGATTGAGATGAGCAGTCACTATGTGGGAAACATCTATGTGCAAACTAATGATACAACAATAAAATCTGCAAATATTTACTTTGAATTTAAGCAGAAAAAAGTAATTACTTGATTTAAATTTACTTTATAAATTTAAATACTGCACAGCTATGATGAAGCTCAGGGTTCCACCTGAGGATGGCTGCTCTTTAACAAATGGTTTAAACTTTAAAACTGTGACTCTGTTTTTGACCACTGTGTGACGTATACAGAGTGATTAATGCTGTTTTTGTGTTGGTAATAATTAATTAGTTTTCAATAATGAATGAGGTTATTTAAATGCGCACACCCCTCTCTTTTTGGGGATGCTCGTATGAATCCTGCTGCTTTAGGTCAGTGGTTTTCAAACCTGTTCTGGCATGCCCCATACCCCACAATTTTTTACAACCCTCAACATTTTTATCTGAATAAGTATATTATGTAAATAAAGGTAAACATAGCATTAGCATACTCTTAATTCCAATTAGTTTCATTTTGTATTTTCCCCTGGTTCTACATCCCACAGTTTGAGAACCACTGCTTTAGGCAAAGGTGCAAATATGTGATACCTTTTAAAGACTTCTCAAATAGCTGCAAGCAACAAACACAACTTCAGATCCTCGGGATTCTCAGCAGTAATGTCCTGACCGAATACTCCTGATGTTTCATGTATGAAAACCTCTTAGCTAGTTTAGGCCTCTAAATGAAACAAAGTAAAAAAATGAGACACAAAGATGGATGCAGCCACTGTGATGTGACCAGTTGGACTGCATATGACCCAGTGTATATTTCTTTTTGGCTTTAATTTTACTGTAACTTACAAATTAAAAACATTTTGTATTCAGTATGACTTAAAAGTAGCCACTGAGGCCATACTGTCATCAGGAAATCGTTTTTTACTGAGGTCATAGATCAGAGGTCAGAAACCTGTGGCTATTTTGCCCATGTCCAGTGCCTCCCTCTGGGTTTGATAAAAAATTAATCTGTATATGGAAATAAATATAATAAACACAATGTTATTGCTTTCACTACCAACAGATCTTTTTACTTAAAACAAATCTGATTTTCCTTCACTTCACAAATGTTCTCTTTGGTGGTTAATAAAAAAAATAACTAACTAAATTTTTATTATCCTAGTTCTATAATGTTATAAATTCAACATGAATGTGGCATTATTGTTATGAAAATGCAAAGTTAAAAAACCAAATAGTCATACAAAGTAACTGCAGACTTGTTTTAATTATTTATACCTATTCATAATGTTGATATGCTCATTTATGGCTCAGCTCCCTTTTGATAATAAATATTGCTGACCCCTGTCATAGATCAGGGGAACAGAGGGCCATTTTTCATACACTTCAATACAGTGTGACTTCTTTTTCCAGTCAGCCATTAAAAATAATGCCGCTTTGAGGCACGTTCTGCCCTTTTCGGACCTATTTAGTCTATCCTGAAACCTCAATTCCTCGTTGAAATTTGCATTTTTGTGCCATTGCCTCCTCTCTGTGTCTGCCTCGCTGCCTAACGATATCAGAAACAGTTGTGTTTGTTTCAGGAAGGGACCACTTCACCCAATTTGTTTATGTAGTTCTCACTGTTTCGGCCACGCCTCTGTGTTTTGTGCTCTGTAATGTTTACAGGAAAATGTTGGCACTAAAATGTGGAAAAATTGTGAGTGACAGTTCAGAGGGTGCAGTGTGTTTATCACTATAAATAAAAAGCTGTTTTTGTTGGTAATTATCTTACTGTCACAGTGATTTGGAAAAAAGGAGGACAGCACCAGCTCAGCTTTCTAGGCTGCTCCAAAAAATATCCCAAATCTAATCCAGTTGACTGTGAGATGCAGTTAAAAGCCTGCTAAACAATAAAAAAATTAATTAAATACACTGACTCTACTCACTGACTTTACTGAAATGTTGTCAACTGTGTATATACAGGGATACACAGACAGAAACATATACTTTTACATATACTAAGTTAATCAATGTTTTTGTTATAGTGCATATAAAATCATCACAGAGGTATTAGAGCTAAGATGAGGCTGTTCTCCTTGGGATAAAGTCAGACATGGCTGGACATTCATCTCAGGAGTCGGCAGGTAGCTGCATAGATGACTAGATAAATTTAGAAAATAAGTTTTAGGATACACACAAGCCAATTTCATAAATGTCCTTGATAAAATAGCCATTTAGACTGTAATGGAGCAGTACGATGACTGATGCGCGCACGAGAACAGACAAGAATACAGATCAAGGAAGGCTTACACTTCAGCACGCATACCTCTGCAGACGCCTGGGTGAAGCATGTGATGGTGGCAGGTAACCCAGATGCTACACAGAAAGCAGAATGATGTTATAGTTTGTTAAATGGAAATATTCAGTGTCTTTTGCATATTTGAGACACGCAAATGATAAGAATTTAAATATGTATTTATGTTCTTCTGTGGTGAGCTGAATCTAACCTTTAAGCGAAAAGGCTGTATATGTCAATGAACATTTCTGAATTCATTTCACCTGCTTTGGTGCAAATCAAAGTGACAACAGGTGCACTCAAGAGGCAACGAGATGACCCCAGAAAAGGAGCAACACCTGGAAAACTGCTCCTGTGGGTTCTTCTCCAGCCCTGAGACAGAGACTTAATGCCCAAAGTGATGATGAAATCAGTCCGATTGACAGACGTGAGTTGGGTAGTATAATTTATTTAACTGAGTAATAGCACTGGGACATTTGTGTTTTTGACACTGAAAAAGGAAACAGTATTGGGATGATGTTCTTGTGTAAAAGACAGTTTTAAGATGCTAAAAGTACCGTGTAAAGGTTTCTTAGTTCAGTTAGGAACACTTTAGTCTAAAGTCACGTTAATTTATTTGTCACAATGAATTGAATTGTTCAAGTTCAAAGATTAGTTGCATAGTTACATTTATTCCAATATAAAAATGTATCTAAGATATGTACATACCTACACATTACAGAGTAAACAAATGAAATAATTAGGAGCCAGATTTAATCCTGAGTCGGCACAATTAAAGTTTCACAGTTTCTCATGTTTACGGCACAAAAACCAAAAGATTTCCCAACTTAACTCAGATTGTGAACTCCCTCTCTGTAATCGAGCTGGGTCGTGAACTCAGTTACTGCATTTTGCCAAACTACTCCAGGTCTAAACCGACTCCCCGTCAGGTCTAAGCATCAGTGAGGTTAGGAACTCTTAACAGTAGACTAACACTGAATGTGTTAGTCTACTGTTAGAGTTCACCATTAAATATAAATGTAGAAACAGTCTAGAGTTAGTACAACCAAGTTTAAAAAAAAAAATTCTAAAAAAAAAGTCACACAAATGTTCTGATTCAACACTGCAGCAGAATTCACCTGTAAGTGCTTTATATTTAATTCAGCTGCTGGCCTTTCACTCATCTTAAACATCGATTGACTAATTAACTTACACCTCTGGTATAAAAACTACGGACTGAACCACAGGGCACTTCACCCTTTGGTTTGTAAAATCCTTTTATCCTCTTTTCTGACGCTAATAATGATTATTATTTATTATTTATAAAATGCACTTAATGTTTTACTCAGTATGACCAAAAACTAGATCATAAAGCCAGCAAAATATTATAGTCGCCCCCTGCTGGCCATTGAAAAGAATGCAGGTTTTTGTGTGGACTTCGCTTTTCAGGCTTCAAAGCTGGGCCCATCAAGTGTTACACCAAAGTCCAGCTATTCCAGATTAGCCAGAGACTGTGAGGTGTTGGCAAGTTAATATTAACCCCATTAGAACCCCAACATCATTGCATCAAAACACTTTTTCTAAGTTACTAATTCTAACCACTAGATTTCTATTTTTAATTTTTATTATAGATTCCAACTTTGACTACTCCCTGATTTGGGACCTCCCGCCCTTCTTGAACATAAAAGGAAAGCCTGACATGGATACAGCAGCATTAAGCGCCAGATGCAACATCAATTGAACCATATAAGGGATTAAAAAGCAGAGCTAGGCTTGTTGTGGTTTGCAAAGCAGCTTGCAGCTACTGTGCTAAAGCTAAGTACCCTAAATACTATTTCAGATTAATAGTTGATTGTGACCTTGCACTGACATCATGGCCTACCATAGCTAACAGTAGGGTTAATCAATGTTAAAATCCATTGCTATTTTACTGCATTTGCTCTTCTTGAAGGTTGGTGATCATAATGTGACTTTCAGTTTCATCTGTGGGCCAAAATATTGATAAAAAATCCCCTCTCTGGAATGCAGAACACAGACTACAGTCCTTAAACCCTCCAGTCTGTACCTTTAATTTTAACTGAAGCTCTGGGGTATTTAAGATTCTATATTATATTTTAACATTATCACTGGAGGTAAATGTCCTTTCGAGACACCCTGTGCTATGTTTTTTGTGTACTCAATAAACACAGCACAGGGTGTCTGCTCACTGAATACTTGTTACTGCATCCATGGATAAAGCAGTTTCTCCCACTGACTCGCACAACAGGCTATATTTCCGACTCTGATGGTACATT